TGTTCAATTTGGCCGGGCGGCCAGCTCTAGGAAGAGTCTTGGTGGTTCCAAACTTCTTCCATTTAAGAATGTTGGAGGCCACTGTGTTGTTGGGGACCTTCAATGCTGCAGAAATGCTTTGGTACCCTTCTCCAGATCTGTGCCTTCGACATAATCCTGTCTCTGAGCTCTACGGACAATTCCTTCGACCTCATCGCTTGGTTTTTGCTCTGACATGCACTGTCAACTGTAGGGCCTTATATAGACAGGTGTGTGCCTTTCCAAATCATGTCCAATCAATTGAATTTACCACAGGTGGACTTCAATGGATGATCAATGGAAACAGGATGCACCTGAGCAACATTTCCAGTCTCATAGCAAAGGGTCTTATGTAAATAAGGTATTTCAGTTTTTTATTTTTAATACATTTGCTGAATTAATTTTCGCTTTGTCATTATGGGGTATTGTGTATAGATTAATGAGGACATTATTTATATATATTTTTTAATCGATTTTAGAATAAGGTTGTAGTGTAACAATGTGGAAAACGTCAAGGGGTCTGAATACATTCCGAAGTCCCTGTATAAAGCCTGTTCTGTCCCCATTCATTTCAATGGCAGAATGCAGGCTTCAACATTCAACATGTTTCATTTTACTTTATTTATTTCATTCATGCTCGCAGTCGATAAGATTGAACTATGCAGAATGCAGAGTTATATTTAGACAATCCATAAAAAACACAAGATACTATATTAAAAAGGTCCTAGCTAACAATAAATTACAGTTTAAAAGTCAAATTTTGTTATTAAAAAGTCTGATGGCAGTGGCTATGGTCAATTTTTTTGTCTATTTGTCCGTGCATTGATGCTGGCCAGTTGGTTCTGATGGCAGAGGACTCCTCTTCTCTGTGGTAGTACATCATGTAGAGAGTCCAGTACTGTCTCCTCTTCTCTGTGGTAGTACATCATGTAGAGGGTCCAGTACTGTCTCCTCTTCTCTGTGGTAGTACATCATGTAGAGGGTCCAGTACTGTCTCCTCTTCTCTGTGGTAGTACATCATGTAGAGGGTCCAGTACTGTCTCCTCTTCTCTGTGGTAGTACATCATGTAGAGGAGGATCCAGTACTGTCTCCTCTTCTCTGTGGTAGTACATCATGTAGAGGGTCCAGTACTGTCTCCTCTTCTCTGTGGTAGTACATCATGTAGAGGAGGATCCAGTACTGTCTCCTCTTCTCTGTGGTAGTACATCATGTAGAGGGTCCAGTACTGTCTCCTCTTCTCTGTGGTAGTACATCATGTAGAGGGTCCAGTACTGTCTCCTCTTCTCTGTGGTAGTACATCATGTAGAGGGTCCAGTACTGTCTCCTCTTCTCTGTGGTAGTACATCATGTAGAGGGTCCAGTACTGTCTCCTCTTCTCTGTGGTAGTACATCATGTAGAGGTCCAGTACTGTCTCCTCTTCTCTGTGGTAGTACATCATGTAGAGGGTCCAGTAACTGTCTCCTCTTCTCTGTGGTAGTACATCATGTAGAGGGTCCAGTACTGTCTCCTCTTCTCTGTGGTAGTACATCATGTAGAGGGTCCAGTACTGTCTCCTCTTCTCTGTGGTAGTACATCATGTAGAGGGTCCAGTACTGTCTCCTCTTCTCTGTGGTAGTACATCATGTAGAGGGTCCAGTACTGTCTCCTCTTCTCTGTGGTAGTACATCATGTAGAGGGTCCAGTACTGTCTCCTCTTCTCTGTGGTAGTACATCATGTAGAGGGTCCAGTACTGTCTCCTCTTCTCTGTGGTAGTACATAATGTAGAGGGTCCAGTACTGACTCCTCTTCTCTGTGGTAGTACATCATGTATAGGGTCCAGTACGGTCTCCTCTTCTCTGTGGTAGTACATCATGTAGAGGGTCCAGTACTGACTCCTCTTCTCTGTGGTAGTACATCATGTAGAGGGTCCAGTACTGTCTCCTCTTCTCTGTGGTAGTACATCATGTAGAGGAGGATCCAGTACTGTCTCCTCTTCTCTGTGGTAGTACATAATGTAGAGGGTCCAGTACTGACTCCTCTTCTCTGTGGTAGTACATAATGTAGAGGGTCCAGTACTGTCTCCTCTTCTCTGTGGTAGTACATCATGTAGAGGGTCCAGTACTGTCTCCTCTTCTCTGTGGTAGTACATCATGTAGAGGGTCCAGTACTGACTCCTCTTCTCTGTGGTAGTACATAATGTAGAGGGTCCAGTACTGTCTCCTCTTCTCTGTGGTAGTACATCATGTAGAGGGTCCAGTACTGTCTCCTCTTCTCTGTGGTAGTAGATGCCTTTTCTTGATGGCCGCTTTTAGTTGTTCCGTCAGCCTTGACTTGTCCCGGGCAGTTTTTTTTCTTCTTCTTTTGTATGGGCAAGGGTCAAGGGTCATCTGTATGTTGGTGTTGAAGATCTCCAACCTTTCATCCATGTTCTCTGCATCGTAGACAGCTGACCAGTCTGTGATGGCCGTCCACCAGGCCAGGGCCTCCTTTCTCTCGAGACACCCGTCACCCTGCTCTGTATTACCAGCCTGTGATGGCCGTCCACCATGCTAGGGCCTCCTTTCTCCCTCGAGACACCCGTCACCCTGCTCTGTATTACCAGCCTGTGATGGCCGTCCAACAGGCTAGGGCCTCCTTTCTCCCTCGAGACACCCGTCACCCTGCTCTGTATTACCAGCCTGTGATGGCCGTCCACCATGCTAGGGCCTCCTTTCTCCCTCGAGACACCCGTCACCCTGCTCTGTATTACCAGCCTGTGATGGCCGTCCACCAGGCTACGGCCTCCTTTCTCTCTCGTCACCCTGCTCTGTATTCCATTTCCTTCCTCTTGCTAGGTTCACTGGTGGTCACCTGATCCCAGCATGGCCAATACAGTAGGGGAGCTGTAGTAGATGTTGAGATCTGTTCTGATCATCACTACTACCATCACTACTGCTACCATCACTACTGCTACCATTACCATCACTGCTGCTACCATCACTACTGCTACCATCACTACTGCTACCATTACCATCACTACTACTACCATCACTACTGCTACCATTACTACTGCTACCACCATCACTACTACCATCACTACTACTACCATCACTACTGCTACCATCACTACTGCTACCATTACTACTGCTACCACAATCACTACTACCATCACTACTACTACCATTACCATTACTGCTACTACCATCACTACTGCTACCATCACTACTGCTACCATTACTACTGCTACCACAATCACTACTGCTACCATTACTACTGCTACCACAATCACTACTACCATGACTACTGCTACCATCACTACTGCTACCATTACTACTGCTACCACAATCACTACTACCATCACTACTACCACCACTACTGCTACCATTACTACTGCTACCATTACTACTGCTACCACAATCACTACTACCATCACTACTGCTACCATCACTACTGCTACCATCACCATCACTGCTACTACTATCACTACTACTACCATCACTACTGCTACCATTACTACTGCTACCACAATCACTACTACCATCACTACTGCTACCATCACTACTGCTACCACAATCACTACTACCATCACTACTACCATCACTACTGCTACCACAATCACTACTACCATCACTACTGCTACCATCACTACTGCTACCATTACTACTGCTACCACAATCACTACTACCATCACTACTACTACCATCACTACTGCTACCATTACTACTGCTACCATTCCTACTGCTACCACAATCACTACTACCATCACTACTGCTACCATCACCATCACTGCTACTACTATCACTACTACTACCATCACTACTGCTACCATTACTACTGCTACCATTACTACTGCTACCATTACTACTGCTACCACAATCACTACTACCATCACTACTGCTACCATCACTACTGCTACCACTACTACTGCTACCACAATCACTACTACCATCACTACTGCTACCATCACTACTGCTACCATCACTACTGCTACTACATCACTACTGCTACCATCACTACTGCTACTACCATTACTACTACTACCACCATTACTACTACTATTACCACCATCACTACTGCCACCATCACCATCACTACTGTCACCATTACTACTACCATCACAAACAGAAATACTTCCAAGACTAGCAAGCACACCACATTTACTTCAGTAAAGTCCCATTCATTTCTCTCAAGCCACATTATCAGTTAACTTACGACATGTGATAATAATGAACACGAAAACAACTTATCATTAGAGCATTTTCATTTAATTTGGTTCAAGTCATACAACCCCTTTACCCCTCTTCCTCTCTAAGAAACAACACAATGAAAATGACATCTTCCATTTCACCAAAATCATTATAAAACCTAAACATATATATTGATCTACTACATACATTGTCAACATTCCTTTTTACCCCCCCAAAAAGTGACACATTATTTTATTTTATTTTTTTACATGGTACATGGATTGATCATACAGTGCTTGTATCGAGAACCGTGGCAACGGCGTGTTACCATGGATACCACAAACCGTTCTCAGGTGACGGAAAGCAACGACGATTCTGAACCTGGCAATAGGCGGGACCGACTGGAACCTGTCAATCAGTCATCAAAAGATTTTTCGGCCAATGGCAACGTTCGAAAGAGAACATAGCCCTCCCATTGATTCCACAGGTCCATGGATGTGTCTCTATAGTCCAAAATAGCTTCCTCTCCTTATCTACCCTCCTCGATCTGCACTGGACATTAAAGAACTGGACAGGTAAAAGCAAACTCCTAGTCGGCATCCTCTCTAATGCTTTCACCTCTCCTGTGATTTCAGATCAGTGCCGATGAAGGAGAGGACACAAGGAGAGGACACAAGGAGAGGACACAAGGAGAGGAAGCCCCTTTAGACTATTGAGACGCAGTCCACAACAACTGACAGTTTACGGTAATCCGGCGCAAAGAGGAAGTTCATCAGCCCCATCTGTCCAATCACAGGCTGTCTCAGTGTGTGTGGGCTGCTGTAATTGGCTAGTCTAGTCGGTCTTGCGCGGGCTCTCCAGTTTCCAGGCACCAGTGATGTAACGCAGGCGGATGAACAGCAGGTCTCTCCCCATCTGTAACCAGCTCCACACTGGCACCAGTTTAGACCCTATAACACATTATAACACATTATAACACCCTATAACACATTATAACACATTATAACACCCTATAACACATTATAACGCATTATAACACCCTATAACACCCTATAACACCCTAAACACAGGAGAACACCCGAGATAAACATTAAACACATTAACACCAACTATAACACCCTATAACACATTACACCCTATAACACATTATAACACCCTATAACACATTATAACACCCTTTAACACATTATAACACCCTTAACACATTATAACGCATAACACCATAATGCATAACACCTTAAACACCATGATAACATGATAACACCCATAAACGCATAAACAACATTATAACACCCTATAACACATTATAACACCCTATAACACCCTATAACACATTATAACACCCTATAACACATTATAACACATTATAACACCCTATAACACCCTATAACACATTACACCCTATAACACATTATAACACATTATAACACCCTATAACAACTATAATAAACACCCTAATATAACACATATAACACCCTTAACACATATAACACATAAACACCCTATAAGCATTATAAACCACACGCCGATAACACAGAGGTAGAACATCCCGGATAAAACAGTTATAAACACCCTTTTTAACCAACATGTAACACATTATAACACCCTATAACACACTATAACACAATATAACACATTATAACTAGGGCTGTCAAATGTTTTAAAAAATGATTTGCTGCAATTAAAATCGCACTTAACCGCATATTCAGAATTTGCTCAAAGTGAGCTGTAATTTAAGATTTTTTACACAAAAAACAATGACGTCTTGATTTTGTCTAAAGTAACAGTTAGCAACATTAGGTATATTGATTTTGTCTAAAGTAACAGTTAGCAACATTAGGTATATTGATTTTGTCTAAAGTAACAGTTAGCAACATTAGGTATATTGATTTTGTCTAAAGTAACAGTTAGCAACATTAGGTATATTGATTTTGTCTAAAGTAACAGTTAGCAACATTAGGTATATTGATTTTGTCTAAAGTAACAGTTAGCAACATTAGGTATATTGCGAAATCACACTTTATTTAGCCTCAATGCCAACTTGGTTTTAAATGTAGATTTGAGCTGTATAGATGTTTTCAGTGTATTTGTAATGCTTTCAGACAATGTGATTAATTGTGATTTAAAAAAATGATCGCACTAAAATTACAAAAAGTTAACTTGAGTTAACTGATTACCTCTGATGGGCCTAATAACACATTAAGGGCTGTATCCAGGTACTCCGCGTTGCGTCGTGCGTAAGAACAGCCCTTAGCCGTGGTATATTGGCCATATACCACACCCCCTCGGGCGTTATAATATACTATAACAGCAGATTTTGAACCACAGTTACAATGAGGTTACCCAGTAGAAACCACTAACACATTAGAGTTAATCAGTAGCCTGCGACTGGAAACAACTTGGCCCCAGAGACATTAAAACATCTCTTTTATCATTTAAAAAAAATTAAAAATGAGACCGGGAACTCTGATCTCCTTACGTATTTTATTGTTTTAATGACAGGACAGTTAGAAGAGTCGGGAGACTGGTTAGCAGAGAGGATGGGCACAGCCAGTTGGCCGAGCCGAGGCTCGAAACCCGGTACCGTGGAGGCATGTGTGGTCTGGGAGGCCGATCTATCGCTGTCCAGTTGACAGCCATCTCGGCTATCAGACTTACCTTCTATCGCCGTCCAGTTGACAGCCACCTCGGCTATCAGACTTACCTTCTATCTCAGTCCAGTTGACAGCCACCTCGGCTATCAGACTTACCTTCTATCTCAGTCCAGTTGACAGCCACCTCGGCTATCAGACTTACCTTCTATCTCAGTCCAGTTGACAGCCACCTCGGCTATCAGACTTACCTTCTATCTCAGTCCAGTTGACAGCCACCTCGGCTATCAGACTTACCTTCTATCTCAGTCCAGTTGACAGCCACCTCGGCTATCAGACTTACCTTCTATCTCAGTCCAGTTGACAGCCACCTCGGCTATCAGACTTACCTTCTATCTCAGTCCAGTTGACAGCCACCTCGGCTATCAGACTTACCTTCTATCTCAGTCCAGTTGACAGCCACCTCGGCTATCAGACTTACCTTCTATCGCCGTCCAGTTGACAGCCACCTCGGCTATCAGACTTACCTTCTATCTCAGTCCAGTTGACAGCCACCTCGGCTATCAGACTTACCTTCTATCTCAGTCCAGTTGACAGCCACCTCGGCTATCAGACTTACCTTCTATCTCAGTCCAGTTGACAGCCACCTCGGCTATCAGACTTACCTTCTATCGCCGTCCAGTTGACAGCCACCTCGGCTATCAGACTTACCTTCTATCTCAGTCCAGTTGACAGCCACCTCGGCTATCAGACTTACCTTCTATCTCAGTCCAGTTGACAGCCACCTCGGCTATCAGACTTACCTTCTATCTCAGTCCAGTTGACAGCCACCTCGGCTATCAGACTTACCTTCTATCTCAGTCCAGTTGACAGCCACCTCGGCTACGGGGATCTTAAAGCACTGAGCGATGTAGAGTAGTTCGACGTCAAAGGCCCTGTGGAACAGTACAACATTCTAGGTACAATGTTCTAACAACAACAACAACAACAACAAGCAGATGCATTTCAAAACCAGTGGATGATCACAACAGAGGAGGTGTGGGTATTGAAAAGTACAGCACTGTTGAACCTCATGGAGTGTTAGTACTGGACTAGTAAACTTTTGTTTTCAGTCATGATCCCTTCTCTGTTCAGAGAGACCTTACCAGGGCACTGTTCAAATCCAAGTTGATTTGAAGACTGTGTGTGTGTGTGTGTGTGTGTGTGTGTGTGTGTGTGTGTGTGTGTGTAAGTGTTCTCGTGGAGAGAGAGAGACCGAACCATTGCTTTACATATATAGAGGAGAAGGTCTTGAACTGTCCCCTTACATTGTTGCGTTCAAATAGAGCCATCTAATGACTATGTAATAACATCATTCACACAATGCAAATATCAGGAGGTGTAAAGGGCTCTCCTTCAGAGAGAGACCTGACCACGGATCCCCTGTAGTGACAATCATGTCTTGCAGGAAGTAGAATAGAACTACTACTACTACATTGTTATTATACAATTTGTCAACTTTGATATAAGGTCACTGGTTAGGTTTTCCTGTCCGGAAGACAGACAGACACACACAGAGAGAGAGAGTGATAGCGAGAGAGTGAGAGAGAGAGAGAGAGAGAGTGATAGAGAGACAGAGAGAGACAGAGAGAGACAGAGAGAGACAGAGAGAGACAGAGAGAGACAAGAGTCTACCACCGCTCCATGTGTAGTGAGGATGTTTATTTGAAGTAAGTAGAATATGAGGTAAACATCAGTAAATGTTGGTATGGTTAGGGGGAGACCTTACCATCGCTCCACGTGTAGAGAGGAGAAGGTCTTGAGCGCGGCCTCACGGGTGAAGAGCTTGAAGCCACACTGCGTGTCCTTGATGCCTCGCACACAGAAGAACCAAACCAGGAAGTGGAACCCATACATCAGGAACGTACGGAACAGAGACCGCTACCATGGAGACATTAACAAAACACGGCAGTTAATATAAAAAAAACAACAAGGACCTTTTTACTGTCAATATACTACTCACAAGACTCATATAGGCTAAATCCTATAGGCTAATCATATAGGCTAAATCCTATAGGCTAAATCCTATAGGCTAAATCATATAGGCCAAATCCTATAGGCTAAATCATATAGGCTAAATCATATAGGCTAAATCCTATAGGCTAAATCCTATAGGCTAATCATATAGGCTAAATCATATAGGCTAAATCATATAGGCTAAATCCTATAGGCTAATCATATAGGCTAAATCATATAGGCTAAATCCTATAGGCTAAATCCTAAAAGTCAGACAGTCACACACCGAAGCGACTGCGTCTTCCTCCAGGTGTGCTCTGGACCCACAAGAGATAGCCATGTTCTCCTGAAACACATTAGGCTGGTATCAGAGACAGGAAGGTAACAGTTAAAGAATGCTTCATGAAAAATGTTTGTGAAATTAAAATATCAAAGGTCTCATGGCCTAGATAAGAGTATCGTCAATTGAGGAGAGAAGACCGTTAAAACGTACACGATATATAATTACCAGTACGATCATTTTGGAACTACAAACAGGACAGGAGATGACAGGAGTTAGAAGATACCATGACAGGAAGTGGAACCACCGGGGATTCTTACAGTCATGATTCTAATACACAAAGAAGAAAAGGGAACAGACACTCACTGGTTTGGTGTTTACATTGTGAAGGCCGGCCTCCACCTTCTCAACGTCTGCAAACTTAGTAGCTCCGTCAGCATCCGCCATCAGAATCAGCCTCCCTCTGGAACTCAGAGTACCCTGAGAGAACCACACTATTCTGTCATCTGGAACTCAGAGTACCCTGAGAGAACCACACTATTCTGTCATCTGGAACTCAGAGTACCCTGAGAGAACCACACTATTCTGTCATCTGGAACTCAGAGTACCCTGAGAGAACCACACTATTCTGTCATCTGGAACTCAGAGTACCCTGAGAGAACCACACTATTCTGTCATCTGGAACTCAGAGTACCCTGAGAGAACCAAACTATTCTGTCATCTGGAACTCAGAGTACCCTGAGAGAACCACACTATTCTGTAATTTATGCTGCCATTGGCAGTATTCTTTCAGCTTTGGCAATACTTAAAATTACTTTTTGTGCCAATAAACTTTATATGGGCATGAAATATTTCACACGCTCACCAAGCATGACATAATAATGTATTGACAGTGTGTTTTCACTAGACTTTGCGTTGGTGGTTTATTGGATTGGTTGAAAGGTGTTCTATGGTGGCCTGGTGTGGTTCGGCTGCTGCCTCCGGAACACATCGGTGTGAGCGTGGGTTTGAGCACACCATCTCCTCACTGTCCTATCTAATTTTTTAAAAATACTGCCCCACTCCTAAGAAATCAAGAAAAGATCTCTGTTCTCACCATCCTGACGGCCCCTCCCTCCCCTCTGTTCTCACCATCCTGACGGCCCCTCCCTCCCCTCTGTTCTCACCATCCTGACGGCCCCTCCCTCCCCTCTGTTCTCACCATCCTTACGGCCCCTCCCCTCTGTTCTCACCATCCTGACGGCCCCTCCCTCCCCTCTGTTCTCACCATCCTGACGGCCCCTCCCCCCCTCTGTTCTCACCATCCTGACGGCCCCCTCCCTCCCCTCTGTTCTCACCATCCTGACGGCCCCTCCCTCCCCTCTGTTCTCACCATCCTGACGGCCCCTCCCTCCCCTCTGTTCTCACCATCCTGACGGCCCCTCCTTCCCCTCTGTTCTCACCATCCTGACGGCCCCTCCTTCCCTCTGTTCTCACCATCCTGACGGCCCCTCCCATCCTGACGGCCCCTCCCTCGGCCCCTTCCCCTCTGTTCTCACCATCCTGACGGCCCCTCCCTCTCCTCTGTTCTCACCATCCTGACGGCCCCTCCCTCCCCTCTGTTTCTCACCATCCTGACGGCCCCTCCCTCCCCTCTGTTCTCACCATCCTGACGGCCCTCCCTCCCCTCTGTTCTCACCATCCTGACGGCCCCTCCTTCCCCTCTGTTCTCACCATCCTGACAGCCCCTCCCTCTCCTCTGTTCTCACCATCCTGACGGCCCCTCCCTCTCCTCTGTTCTCACCATCCTGACGGCCCCTCCCTCCCCTCTGTTTCTCACCATCCTGACGGCCCCTCCCTCCCCTCTGTTCTCACCATCCAGACGGCCCCTCCCTCCCCTCTGTTCTCACCATCCTGACGGCCCCTCCCTCCCCTCTGTTCTCACCATCCTGACCGCCCCTCCTTCCCCTCTGTTCTCACCATCCTGACAGCCACTCCCTCTCCTCTGTTCTCACCATCCTGACGGCCCCTCCCTCTCCTCTGTTCTCACCATCCTGACGGCCCCTCCCTCCCCTCTGTTCTCACCATCCTGACGGCCCCTCCCTCCCCTCTGTTCTCACCATCCTGACGGCCCCTCCCTCTCCTCTGTTCTCACCCATCCTGACGGCCCCTCCTTCCCCTCTGTTCTCACCATCCTGACGGCCCCCTCCCTCCCCTCTGTTTCTCACCATCCTGACGGCCCATCCCTCTCCTCTGTTCTCACCATCCTGACGGCCCCTCCCTCTCCTCTGTTCTCATCATCCTGACGGCCCCTCCCTCTCCTCTATTCTCACCATCCTGACGGCCCCTCCCTCTCCTCTGTTCTCACCATCCTGACGGCCCCTTCCTCTCCTCTGTTCTCACCATCCTGACGGCCCCTCCTTCCCCTCTGTTCTCACCATCCTGACGGCCCCTCCCTCCCCTCTGTTCTCACCATCCTGACGGCCCCTCCCTCCCCTCTGTTCTCACCATCCTGACGGGCCCCCTCCCTCCCCTCGTTCTCACCATCCTGACGGCCCCTCCTTCCCCTCTGTTCTCACCATCCTGACGGCCCCTCCCTCCCCTCTGTTCTCACCATCCTGACGGCCCCTCCTTCCCCTCTGTTCTCACCATCCTGACGGCCCCTCCCTCCCCTCTGTTCTCACCATCCTGACGGCCCCTCCCTCCCCTCTGTTCTCACCATCCTGACGGCCCCTCCCTCCCCTCTGTTCTCACCATCCTGACGGCCCCTCCTTCCCCTCTGTTCTCACCATCCTGACGGCCCCTCCTTCCCCTCTGTTCTCACCATCCTGACGGCCCCTCCCTCCCCTCTGTTCTCACCATCCTGACGGCCCCTCCCTCCCCTCTGTTCTCACCATCCTGACGGCCCCTCCCTCCCCTCTGTTCTCACCATCCTGACGGCCCCTCCTTCCCCTCTGTTCTCACCATCCTGACGGCCCCTCCCTCCCCTCTGTTCTCACCATCCTGACGGCCCCTCCTTCCCCTCTGTTCTCACCATCCTGACGGCCCCTCCCTCCCCTCTGTTCTCACCATCCTGACAGCACCTCCCTTCCCTCTGTTTTTCACCAGGGTCAGGACCCGCACTTTGTCCGCTCCAAACTGCCTGGTGTACTGCAAGGCAACCTGGGAAGACAGAACACACACACATACTGTTAGATAATTACATTATGTGTACAGTGTACTACAGGGCATCCTGGGAAGACAACCCCCATACGGTTATACACCACCTGGGAAGACAACCCCCATACGGTTATACACCACCTGGGAAGACAACCCCCATACGGTTATACACCACCTGGGAAGACAACCCCCATACGGTTATACACCACCTGGGAAGACAACCCCCATACGGTTATACACCACCTGGGAAGACAACCCCCATACGGTTATACACCACCTGGGAAGACAACCCCCATACGGTTATACACCACCTGGGAAGACAACCCCCATACGGTTATACACCACCTGGGAAGACAACCCCCATACGGTTATACACCACCACTCAGACAAAAACATGGAGACACATTCATTTGATGACGTGGTTTTCTGGAGAGCTATTTTCATTGGAGAGCTGTCTGATATTTTAATATTTGAGCATGCTAATAATCCTAGAAAAGAATGCTGCTTCAGCAATGATTCTACCTTCTATATTGAGAAATAATATCTCTTAGAGACAAATATAAAAGATCAACACCAACGTACCTCTGTGGTCTTGTCTTTGCTTCCATCGTTCACCACGATGACCTCATAGGTAAACAATGGCTGCTGCTTCTGCAGGGAGAGAGAGAGAGAGAGACAGAGAGAGAGAGAGAGAGAGAGATACAGAGAGAGAGAGAGAGAGAGAGAGAGAGAGATACAGAGAGAGATACAGAGAGAGCGAGAGAGAGAGAGAGAGAGAGAGAGAGAGAGAGAGAGAGAGAGAGAGACAGACAGAGAGAGACAGAGAGAGACAGAGAGAGACAGAGACAGAGAGAGACATGAGAAAACAATAATATAAATTTGTTTTTTCGATCAATTTAAGCTGTTTTTATCTGCATGATTTATTAGTGGCACATTGTCAGTGAATATAATCTGAGGCTGAAGCAGGAATATGGTCATCAAGTGTTTCAGAGAGTGTTTGCCATCTGCAATTTGATAAGTTACAACATTTTTTTTCATTTTCATTTTAGTCATTTAGCAGACGCTCTTATCCAGAGCGACTTACAGGAGCAAGTAGGGTTAAGTGCCTTGCTCAAGGGCACATCGACAGATTTTTCACCTAGTTGGCTCGGGGATTAGAACCAGCGACCTTTCGGTTACTGGCACAACGCTCTTAACCACTAAGCTACCTTAGAACTTGAACTAAAAAGAGGGATGTAGCTCAGTTGGTAGAGCATGGCGCTTGCAAACCCAGGGTTGTGGGTTCGATTCCCACGAAGGGGCCAGTATGAAAACCCCCCAAAATTATGCACTCACTAACTGTAAGTCGCTCCGGATAAGAGCGTCTGCTAAATGGCTAAATTGTACAAATGTACTGGTCAACCAACAACACATTGTACATCTTCACTGCCATCTGGTGGCCACTTTGAACAATGACAGCACAGTGAAGCAGTGATCTTCACTGCTGGTTGTTGATGTGATGGTCACAGGTTAAACAGCTTAGAGCTAGAACTCAACTAATCATCAAGACTTCCAATAGCAAAACTAGGTGTGTTAGAGCTGGGCTGGAACAAAATCCTGCACACACTGTCCCTCCATGACCAGGAGTGAAGAACAGCATCAATGTTTTGCCACTTATTTTCCCTCAACATTGGCAGTGGTTACTCACCCGTCTGGTTACTCACCCGTCTGTTTTCCAGATATTCCAAAGCTTCCTCCATCATCACAGGCACTGCAATGGCAACAACATATACATATAGGCACTGCAATGGCAACAACACATACATACAGGCACTGCAGTGGCAACAACACAACATATAGGTCACACGTAGTCTATGGCTGCGTTTACACAGGCAGCCTGGTTCACACGTAGTCTATGGCTGCGTTTACACAGGCAGCTTAGTTCACACGTAGTCTATGGCTGCGTTTACACAGGCAGCCTGGTTCACACGTAGTCTATGGCTGCGTTTACACAGGCAGCCTGGTTCACACGTAGTCTATGGCTGCGTTTACACAGGCAGCCTGGTTCACACGTAGTCTATGGCTGCGTTTACACAGGCAGCCTGGTTCACACGTAGTCTATGGCTGCGTTTACACAGGCAGCCTGGTTCACACGTAGTCTATGGCTGCGTTTACACAGGCAGCTTAGGTCACACGTAGTCTATGGCTGCGTTTACACAGGCAGCCTGGTTCACACGTAGAAATGGCTGCGTTTACACAGGCAGCCTGGTTCACACGTAGGCTATGGTGCGTTTACACAGGCAGCCTGGTTCACATGTAGTCTATGGCTGCGTTTACACAGGCAGCTTAGGTCACACGTAGTCTATGGCTGCGTTTACACAGGCAGCCTGGTTCACACGTAGAAATGGCTGCGTTTACACAGGCAGCCTGGTTCACACGTAGTCTATGGCTGCGTTTACACAGGCAGCCTGGTTCACACGTAGTCTATGGCTGCGTTTACACAGGCAGCCTGGTTCACACGTAGTCTATGGCTGCGTTTACACAGGCAGCTTAGTTCACACGTAGTCTATGGCTGCGTTTACACAGGCAGCCTGGATCTCTGATCTTGTGCCCAATTAAAAAGAGCTGATCTTATTGGTCAAAAGAGAAATTTGTGGCAAAAGATCAGAATTGGGCTGCCGGTGTAAACGCAGCCTATAACAAGTGTGAATTAATATGGCAAAAAATGCCTCGAAGCTGAGATTGACGCTAGTCACTGGCTGCCTTCTAGAAGACAATGCAAGAGACATAGGATCCAACCCAAACACAACATACCGGTTTGGCAAAGCTCTTATTACAAGGCTAATGCTGAATATGACACTACTGTCTCGTCCACCTTTAGACTAAGTCGTTCTAAGAGGAAACGTGCCTCTCTCTGTCTCTGTCTCTGTCTGTCTCTCTCTCTCTCTCTCTCTCTCTCTCTCGATCACTGTCTGTCTGCCTCTCTCGATCACTGTCTGTCTGCCTCTCTCGATCACTGTCTGTCTGCCTCTCTCGATCACTGTCTGTCTGCCTCTCTCGATCACTGTCTGTCTGCCTCTCTCTCTCTAGCTGTCTGTCTGCCTCTCTCTCTCTAGCTGTCTGTCTGCCTCTCTCTCTCTAGCTGTCTGTCTGCCTCTCTCTCTCTAGCTGTCTGTCTGCCTCTCTCTCTCTAGCTGTCTGTCTGCCTCTCTCTCTCTAGCTGTCTGTCTGCCTCTCTCTCTAGCTGTCTGTCTGCCTCTCTCTCTAGCTGTCTGTCTGCCTCTCTCTCTAGCTGTCTATCTGTGTGGCAACCCACTCACTAACTTCGTAGCTCTTCATTGTAAGCAGGCACAACCACGGACATCTCCAATGAGCTGGGGTCGTGTAGGCTGGGGAACGGCTCCTTCTCTCCGGCCGCAGTCAGGAAGAACTTCTCCTTCTCATGGCGCTTCAGGTCCACCATCCCGGCAGTCAGATGGGCTATCAGCAGGACCTGCAAAACAGACCCACAACAGGTGCTGAGATTCAGCTTCTAGATTGTTAGGTCTGTTTTGGTTCCATTGATTCTATCTTCTTGTCAATGTGTAAACAAAGACATTTAGACATATTATGTGGGATAGTTTTCAAAACCATGATTGATTAATTGATTGGATGCACACAGAAGGGCCCTCTCTACCTCTTTCTGATAGTTCAGCAACCTGTTAGAATGAATGACAAGGCAGGCTACTACAGACTGACATAAACAGCACGCACCATAACCTGCTAGACAAACGCTGCAGCATGTGTAACACTTACCACTATCAAAGCAGCCACTGCCAATGCAACCAGACATTGAATTATTTCACATAGACAATCCATTCTCTCCCATTCCCCAGTGCACAGACAAACACAGCTGCGCCGTGGCTAGCTAACTGTACTGTTCCGTGTTGAAAGACAACACTCTTCGGAGAACGAGGCAAAGACGGTATTTTGAAGTTGATGTGGAATATCAGAAACTCAATATGTCCATTATTGCATGGCGCGGATCCACTGAGGTATAATAAGGTTTGAAGTTTACTTCCAGTCACAGAGAAACACCTACGCGGAAGTAACTCCTTACAGAAAACGACATCAAATAGATGCAAGAGGGACCAAAGCGATGACGTGTTCTTACGTCTAATGAAACTACGACCCCTGCTGGCTTGGAGTGTGAAGTGTGCGACACTTATTCTTTACGGTTTACTTGGATTTACATCTTCTTTAAACAAACGATTTCAAGGTTTAAATGTGCATTGATTTGGTATCACGAGAAATTTGCGATACGATGAAACAGTTCCAAAGTTGGTTTCCAAAGTCATACACATCTGCGGCTTCCGTTCTGACATCAGAATATTATTCAAACCCACGTTGTCTACCAAAACATCAGGGCGGCTGGATTCAAGTAAATGTACATTTTGCATTCATAAAAAAATATATATTGTATTAACAATCTACATGAACGGTCAGTAGTTTTCAGATGTTTCCGAAATGATAAACTATCCTAACCGCTATCCCAAGGACGAGGGATTTGTTTGACACGCAGGCTAACGTCAACGGTGTAATAGTGTTTAGGCTTTCTAGGATATGACACAGATTCTCTCTCTGTAACTACTGACCCAGCTACCTGCAATCTAGCTACATTGATAGTGGACATTGATTAAAGTCAGTTAATTCTAGCTAACCAACTACTTTAATATTTTTCCTCAGAACTGCTAGTACTGTAGCTACCTAATATATATATACACACACATTTTTAGTCATTTAGCAGACGCTCTTATCCAGAGCGACTTACAGTTAGTGAGTGCATACATTTTCATATATATATATATATATATAATATTGCATATATCATTTACATTGGTAGTTACTTGTATTGAACTTGCCAGAAGATTCCGACCCTACCGTTACGCTTGTTTACACTGAGCTGCACTGAGGACAGAACGCAATCATGGTTACATTAAGACACCTTGGAGCAGGTGCGAGATATGGGTCAGAGAACGTACCTCAATGCAAGGATGGGATATGCCACTGTACTCCAAACTGTATCTTTATCTACACTGCTACATCGACAAGATTGAAATACTGTTGGTTTTCCCGGAAAACAGCCATTTTGTCCTCATGCTAGCTAGCAGTAACCACAGCAGCCATTCTGGAATGGCACGTTGCGTTGAACAACAAAGGAGCTGATTGGCTGACACTGCCATTACAAAATGGCTGAGGTGCAGCTCAGTGTAAAACCAGCGTAATGGTAGGGTGCCATCTTCTCGCAAGTATTGAACTTTCCACCTGCTAATGTAATGTCGACACAAGTTACATTTACTGCTAGAACAGGATGCCCTGAACATGATAGTAACTTTAGGGGAACTGTTAGCTGCAGAAAGAGAACTGCCGGCCTGATGGAAGGGAACTGTTAGCTGCAGAAAGAGAACTGCCGGCCTGATGGAAGGGAACTGTTAGCTGCAGAAAGAGAACTGCCGGCCTGATGGAAGGGAACTGTTAGCTGCAGAAAGAGAACTGCCGGCCTGATGGAAGGGAACTGTTAGCTGCAGAAAGAGAACTGCCGGCCTGATGGAAGGGAACTGTTAGCTGCAGAAAGAGAACTGCCGGCCTGATGGAAGGGAACTGTTAGCTGCAGAAAGAGAACTGCCGGCCTGATGGAAGGGAACTGTTAGCTGCAGAAAGAGAACTGCCGGCCTGATGGAAGGGAACTGTTAGCTGCAGAAAGAGAACTGCCGGCCTGATGGAAGGGAACTGTTAGCTGCAGAAAGAGAACTGCCGGCCTGATGGAAGGGAACTGTTAGCTGCAGAAAGAGAACTGCCGGCCTGATGGAAGGGAACTGTTATCTGCAGAAAGAGAACTGCCGGCCTGATGGAAGGGAACTGTTAGCTGCAGAAAGAGAACTGCCGGCCTGATGGAAGGGAACTGTTAGCTGCAGAAAGAGAACTGCCGGCCTGATGGAAGGGAACTGTTAGCTGCAGAAAGAGAACTGCCGGCCTGATGGAAGGGAACTGTTAGCTGCAGAAAGAGAACTGCCGGCCTGATGGAAGGGAACTGTTAGCTGCAGAAAGAGAACTGCCGGCCTGATGGAAGGGAACTGTTAGCTGCAGAAAGAGAACTGCCGGCCTGATGGAAGGGAACTGGGGGAATTCAGAACCACTACATTGAATATAGGTGAGTAGAACGGAACTGTGATCAAAACTCAAGCAGACAACAGTGATGAATGCATGTTTCTTGCTACCCTTACAAACAAGGCGTCCTTCTCATTCAGTCTTTCCCCCCCGACACACTCTCGTTCTCTCTGAACCCTCGGTCTGTTACAGCTAGCTAAAATCTGGAGGTTTTACTGCATCTGAAGTCAATCTGGCGACATCAAAATGATGACAAAGGGTCTTCCTACTAATTATTACAGTCTTCTTTAGAAATGTAATTGTGTTTTCAAGCCACAGTAATGGACTTTAGACAATCTTCATCAGCCCCCCAATGAGGATGCATTGAGTAGAGCTGGGCATCAGTCCTAAAACGAATGTTCAAAACAATATTGTGATGCAATGTGCAACCCATGAATACTTTTTCATACTTTTGCTGATAACTACTTGTTGAGGGAAAATGTACTTGCTATCACTGTGATATGTGGTTGTCTCACCTAGCTATCTCAAGATGAATGCAGTAATTGTAAGTCATTCTGGATAAGAGTGTCTGCTAAATGACTAAACTGTAAATAGAGTGAGATGCTCTTATCCCAAGAGGTAGTGGTACTAGGAGTTTTTAACCTTGTCTTTTACATTGCAGTTCTGCCGTGATACAGAGAGGAGTTATGCATTGTGAAGGGAAAGGTACGTTTGATAACCTCATGTGACACACAGAGAACTGATTCACTTCTACAGCTTAAAGCAGGATTCCTTAAAGGTGAAACTGCCACATCTGTTTGCCATATTATACCAACAAATAAGTTACTGTAAACATCGAACGCTGTTTGTTTTCCCTCCGACATCATTGCATGCACGATAGAACAGCAGAGCATGTCCTGAGATTTCGATGTGGATTTCAGCTTTAATGCATGTAGGCTACAATCATGAATTTAGGCTGTTCTGAGGGTAAAAGGGGGTGCAACTCAATATTAGGAAGGTGTTTCTAATGTTTTGTACACTCAGTGTATGTGAAAAGATTGTTTATAAAATATTATAACCGTTTGTGTGGTCAATTTGCATTATTTGTAATTATGTTTCCCGGCCCATGACCATCCGCTCAAGAAAGAAATCGTCCCACGGCTGAATCTAGTTGATGATCCCTGCTATAACCCCTTCCCTTCACTGCCTTGTCCCAAATCATCCCTTAAACCAGTCTGAAACCAACCCCAAGCCTCTTCCCAAATATACTTCTTGTTAACCCCTTCCTAGTCCTCACTGCCCAGTAACAAATACTCAGTCCCCGAGAATCCACTAGCTAGCCTCTTCCCCAGTTCCAAAACAACCCTTAAACCCTACCCCCAAAATACGTATTTATGGGCCCTCTTATTTTTTTTTTAAAGTTTATAGGTCAACAGTTGTCTATGCTAAACACTCCTCTGTTGTTGCCATCCTCTCCTCCTGCTTTCTCCTCTCCAGGGGGGCACATCATTATCGGGTGAGAAGCTTCTGGACTATCAGCCGGGCCACGACGAGACACAGAGAGATCTGCAAACTCATCGACAAAGTCCTACAGAGCGTCAAGACACCCGAATAAACACACACACAGTTTATTTTTCTTTAAAAAGTTGTATTTTCCTGTCAATATATAGTTTCTTCTTTATCGCAATAAAACTGCTGACAAAGACCATTAACTTCTGCCTCAGTGTCCCAGAAATGTCACACACCTGATTTCTAATAAGAATATACACTTCTTGACTCCCCCCGCCCCCCTTCCACCCCCACAAGTACAAGGAAATGCCTTATTTAAAATGTGCCATATAAAAATTGCACTCAGCATTGCATGCTATTGGAGTCGAGATCATCTGTGTCCAAAATGTCACCCTATTCCCTACATAAGTAGGGTACCATTTCAGAGGCTCCCAGAAGCAGGAGAACCAGGAATGGTCGTTCACGAGGAGTCTTCTGAATGTACCGTGCAGTCAGTGTTCGTCCAGGAGTTCAGCTCTGTTTGAGCCAACGGCCCCCCCGTAGAGGACACCGTGGCGTGATGTCATACGAGGATGTAACAGGGCAGCATCTTCATTTTCGAACTCATAAAAAAAAAAAAAAAAAAAGGTTATTTAAAAAAAGTAGGTTCCCTACTTCTAAAAACCCTTGTTGTACGATCGTCAGGACGTGGTTCAGGCTTGCACGCCAACCAAACAGTCATTATTACATCATACATTTCATCATCTCACAGCTACTAAAGGACAAAGAAAAACAAAAGTATTTTTGTCTCCTAAATGAGAGGACATAATGGAGGCGTACAGGGGTTGTGTGTGAAGTTCTCTCCATCATGATTTGGGGAGGGGCCATGGCATTGCTCCTCCTGGTTGGCTGGGGAGGGGTGTGAGGGGGTTCGTCATTGTCATGATTTGGGGAGGGGCTGCGGTGTGCTCCTCTTGGTTGGCTGGGGGGGAGGAGGGGGGTGCGTCATTGTCATGATTTGGGGAGGGGCTGCGGTGTGCTCCTCTTGGTTGGCTGGGGGGGAGGAGGGGGGTGCGTCATTGTCATGATTTGGGGAGGGGCTGCGGTGTGCTCCTCCTGGTTGGCTGGGGGGAGGAGGGGGGTGCGTCATTGTCATGATTTGGGGAGGGGCTGCGGTGTGCTCCTCTTGGTTGGCTGGGGAGGGGTGTGAGGGGGTTCGTCATTGTCATGATTTGGGGAGGGGCTGCAGCATGCTCCTCTTCCTCTTACCATATCCCCCTGGGGAGGGTGCTTGCAGCTGGGGGGG